GAATGCCTACACCACAATTCCTTCTCCTCCATTTCCCTCTCGGGATCTTGGGCACGCTCGAACCGCAGTCGACTCTGTGGGAGTCCAGCGACATAGTCATTAGGCCAACTGCTGTTTCCTCGCTTATTATTTTTTAAAGAATTATTTATTTACTTAATTTCATTTGTTATTATTATTATTTTGTTGAGAGTTTTTTTCTATAGGGTGTGTGCACTCACCAGACAGACAGAGACAGAGAGATAGAAAGCGAGAAATCATCCCCCAGGGGGGATGGCCACGCCGCAATCCCTTCTCCTCCATTCTCTGGGGATCTTGGGCACACACGCACATGCGCCCGGCGTGAGTTTAAGCCACCGCGTCTGGGACTCAAACCGTGGTTGACTACGTGGGAGTCCAGCAACATAGCCATTACGCCAACTGCTGGCCCCCTGTTTGTTTTTATTTTTTAATTCAACCAGAGAGAGACAGAGAGAGAAAGGGAAAGCGAAAAAGCAAATGGCCAGGTCTAGGACTTGAACCGGGAAAGTGAGAAAGCAAGCCACCAGGTCTGGGGCTCAAACTGTGGCCAGCCATGTGGGAGTGTCCAGCGCCTCAGCCACTGTGCTACCTGCTGGTCCCCTTTCCAATGGATTGACACTCCCCACTGGTCCTGAATGGCGCCTCAGAGTCTTTTTTTCTTTTAAGTTTATTTACCTTTTCCACAATGGAGAGAGAGAGAGGGAGCGAGAGACAGCACCCTGAAGTCTATTTGCAACCTGGTCCCAGCTCAGCAGCCCCAGATCATGGGAAATGAGAAATCCCCCCTGGGAGGTGATTTCTCATTTTCTGTCTCTCTGTCTTTCGGGTGAGCGCACGCGCCCTAAAGTGAAAACCTCTCCAAAAAAAGGGAAAAAAAGTCATCCCCAGGACAATGGCCACACCACAATCCCTTCTCTTCCGTTCTCTTCTCAGGATTTTGGGCACACATGCACACACATCCGGCGTGAGTTTCAAGTTGCTGAGTCCAGGACTCGAACCATGGTCGACTACATGAGAATCCAGTGATATACCCATTACACCATCTGCTGGTCTCAAGCACAGACTCTCTTTGGGCCTCAGTTTCCCCATATGGAAACAAGGAGGTAGAACAAGATGATACCAAGTTGTGTCTGACTTCTACCCAGGGAGGGCCGCTCAGCCCAGGGAGCTGGCAGGACATAAGGTACTCACTCTGACTGGCTGCATAGACACCGTCAGTCGCTGTGGGGTCTTCCTTCACAGTCTGGGAGCTGGAGGAGAACTCAGGGAGGCAGGGCACCAGGGAGCCCAGCACCAGCACGAAGCACAGGGCTGCCACCTGGGAGCGAGAGCGGCAGTCAGGGCGGGGCCGTGGGGGCGCAGCGCTGCACCCTAACACTCCTCTCCCAAAGCTGTCAGTGCAAAAGCCTCAGTATTGTTCCAGGAAGGCAGCTCCCAGAGCCCACCTCCCGGTAGACGTGTGGCTCAGGTCACGTGAGCCCGGGGGAGGAGCTGCCACAGGCAGGGGAAGCAAAGGAGGGGCGATGTGGCTGTACCCTGTAGAGGGGAGGAACCAGGGAAGGAAGAAAGGGGTGGGGAGGGAAGCCGAGGCTGGGTGCGGGGAGGGGGCTACGTGACCACGTCAGCTATCAGGCCCCCGGGGAGGAACTGAGAGTCCCGGTGCCGACAGACCCCAGCCTGGCTCTGGAGCTGGACAGCTGGAGGGTCTCAGGGATGGGGTGGGGCTGGGAGTGGCCGGGCAGGGCAACGGCAGACTGGACATTCCAGGAGAGGACGAGAAAGAGGCTGCCTTTTAGGGTGTCTAGGGACGCGTTTAGCCCTCTTCCGGCCATCCATTCCAGAAAGACCCCTGCGTTTCCCCAAGCCTTTCACCCCACAGGGCCAACAGAGGTTGCTCTCAGTGGACCTGCCCCCCTAGTTGGCTCACTGGAGTCATGGTGACCCAACTAGTCAGGGACCGTTGTGTTGCGGGAGGAGGCTGGGGTCGCCGGGCCAACCTGCCAGGCACTAGGAGGGTTGACCCTGGTGACATCACCCACGATATCAACAATCCTGCCCGCAGAGCTCAGCCCACTCCCTAGAAAGTCACCCAGGGGCGCGCCGCCATCCTGTGGCTCTGCAGTGGAGGGGACGGCACCTACCATGAGGCAGGTCCCCGTCTGGGTGGCAGCCATCTTGTAAGGTCTGGAGATCTTGTTGGTGACCAGAGTCTGGAGTTTCTGCAGCTGCTGCAGCAGGGTCCTATGGAGGTCACAGTGGTCAGTGGTCAGCACAGCCGGGGACCTGGACAGGCTCCGGTCATACCGTCTCAGCCGGGTGCCCATTTCAGCCACAGGTCACCTCCTGTTCTGGCCGCTGGAACCTGCCTCATGGTGGATGGGGGGGGTCACCCCATGGGAGCCTGGGCTGCCTGTGGTGTCCTGGCCCAGGGGGGGTTGGAGGAGGCTGCCTCTTCTTTCTTACCCTACAGCAGCCATGGGTACACCGACCTTCCTTCTTTGCACCCACCGCCCCCTGAGCGGAAGAGGACATGCTTGGCGCAGTGCCTGGTACGCAGTGAGCACCCAGTAACCGGTCACTTTTATTATTTTTGTGGATTTTATTGCTTTTATCACAGCACCTGTAACATGTTTATTTATGGACTTCCAGGTCAGTCTCCTTTGCTAACTGTGGGCTCCCTGAGAGCGAGGACTAGGTCCCACCCAGCATGGACTCCTCTGGGTGCACAGAGGGTGTTCAGCCCTCTGGGTGAACGAAAGTTTAATCCTCTCCTCCACTCAGTGGGGCGGGCAGGGTTGCAGTTCCCAGAATGTACAGCAGGTGGCGAGAGAGCTCCAAGGGCCTGGTCCTATTTTGAGCAAGAGAGGAATCCTAGCCAGAGGAAGAGGCTGAGATTGGGTTTGGGGTGGGGTTTTCCAGCCAATCTGGGGATAAGAGGAGTGGCTGGATCCCACTGGAAAAGCTGGGGGAGAAGATGGAAAGAGGAGAAAGACTTGTGTTGAGCACCTGCTACACACTATAGGCTCAGGGCTGGGAATTTGGAATAAGAATTTAACAAGAACAAAAGCTAACATGAATTAAGCATTCTTTTGTTGTTGTTGTTTTTAGAATTATTTATTTAATTTTATTTTTTATTATTATTTTTTAATTTCACCAGAGAGAGAGGGCTGCCAGGTCTAGGACTTGAACTGCTGTTGGTCATGTGGGAATCCAGTGCCCCATCCACCACGCCATCTGTCTGCCCCTTATTATCATTTTAAAATTTACTATAGGGCACATGTGCTCACCAGAGAGAGGGGGAAGCAAGCTACCAGGTTGAGACTTGAACCACAGTTGGCCATGTGGGAATCCAGTGCCTTAACCACTTGAATCCACCTGCTGGCCTCAAGTTGAGCATTCTTTTTTTTTTTAGAGAGAGAGATTTTTGCTATAGGGCATGTGCATTCGTCAGAGAGAGAGAGAAACAGACAGAAAGTGAGAAATCATCCTTTAGGGGGGATGGCCTGCCACTACCCCTTCTCCTTTCTCCTCCTCTTGGGGATTTTGGATACGCATGCACATGCGCTCAGTGTGAGTTTGAAACCACTGGGTCTGGGATTTGAACTGTGGTCAGCCATGTGTGAGTCCAGCGAAGTAACCATTAGGCCATCTGCTGGTCCCTGATTAGAGCATTCTTCAACAGCAAGCACTGTGCTGGACCCTTTGCTTGCACTATCTCATAGAATCCTCACATCAGTGCTCTGAGATGTGCTTCTATCCCCTCCATGTAGACAAAGAAACTGGGGCCCAGAGTGGTTTGACAGTCTCCTGCATTACAAAGCTGGCCAACTGGGACAAGGCCCCAGAGCCGTAACTTTGTGTGCCTGCTATATGCCAGGTACAGTGCTGGTCTCTCTTCGCTGATGTCTCTCCTTCACTGTGCATGGGACTAGCCCAAGGATCGTGCTAAAAATGCACATTCTGGCTCGGTAAGTCTGGGAGAGTCCTGGCGTTCTGCATTTCTAGCAAGCTCCCAGCCAATGCTGATACTGCCCGTCTGGGAACCGACTTCGAGTAACCAGGGTCTACACTAGTGGGCTGGTTGCACACAGATGGCTGGGCTCTACCCTGCAGCACGTGATTCCGGAGCCCCGGCGAGGTGCTGAGTCTGAGCATGTCTGCCCCGGGAGGCTGAGGCTGCTGGTCTGAGGACTGCTTTGAAAGATTCTGCTGGGTGAGCTCACTGAGGCACTGGCCAGCCCCCACAGCTGTCTGGATTACATGCAGGTGAGGAAGGATGGGATACCAGGGAGGGCAGGACACAAGAGGCCCCAGGCCACAGAGTTTGTTTCTGGGGTCCCCATCACTCCGTCCTACCTCCTGCCTCCAGAGGTACAAGAGCCAGGCTCAGGAAAGGGCTGGCCAGGAGGGATGCAGGCAGGACCACGCACCTGTTGGCATTCTCCAGGGTCTCCACCTTCTTCCACAGTTCGTTGTTCTCAGATGTGAATGTCTCCACCCTGCAGGGGCCATGCAGGCAGGCTCAGGGGCAGCGCCCAGACCACCACTGCCCCTCAGCCCTGCCCACCACACTCCCACCCTGCGTACCCCGCCTCCAGTGCCCCGTGATGGAGGATTGGGGACAGCAGATCAGGCTGGGGGTGAGGCCAGGTTCTCCACCCCTCCCTCCCAGCAAGCCACCAGGTCTGGGCCTTGAACCTGACACTCACTTCTTTTCTAGACATTCCACGTATTCCTTCTTCTTACGACGGCTCTCTTGGGCAGAGATCTGGGGGGAGACCCCCAAACAAGGGTTACCACTGATAGATATTCTCTTCCAGGGATGCCAATATCAGGGCTCCCATGATAAGGGGGAGCTGAGGCCCCGCCCACCGAAGAGGCCCTCCGAAGCCCCAGGGTAGGGCTGGGAGCCGGTTCAGGGTTTACCTTGTTCTTGATTTTTCTCCGGACCCTCTTCAAGGCCTTCTCCTCGGCTTTGGTGAGGGGGAGTTTGGTGGGGATGGGGTAGCCCTCAGCAATCAGGGTACGCTTCTCCTCCTCTGTCAGGAGCAGTGGCCCTGATGTCCCCTGTAGTTTCTGTAGGGAGTGGGACATGGATGTTAGGAATCAGACAGCCCTGGGTCCCCATTCTCGGCCACTATCTGTATGGTCTGGCCAAGGTCCTCAAGTCTCCCAGCCTCCGTTTCCTCATCTGGAAAGGGGGCAAGTCTGAGTCAGTCCTGTAGCAAGTGTCAAGTGCTGAGCTGCTGCTGGGATCCCGGCAGGGGAGGCACTCGCAGTCCATCTGCCCGAATCTGAATCCGCAGCCCCAAGGCTGCTTGTCCTGGGTCGCTTCTACAGCATGTCCCCGGGTACGTCCCTACAACTTGTCATGGGAAGTTCTGCACCCATCCCAGAGATCAGGGCCTAGCTCTGGGTTTCCTGGGGGTTTGGGACTCCTCAAGCAGTGCTCCTTAGTGGCAGCCTGCATGGTCATCCACCCTGAAGGTAGAGAATGTCAAGTTCTAGGCCCAGCTCTGCACTGGCATGGGCTTCGAGGGGCCTCCTGAGCCTGGTCTCTCCGCCTCTTATTCACCATGAGGCGAGATTACGATACTCACTCCCACCTGTCAGGCAGGAAGCTCTCAAATTCTGCTGCCAGTGGGGTCAGGTCAGACTCTGGGCTCCCCAGACCCTCCCCTGTCAGGTGCTGGGTGAATTTGCTCAGTCCCATGTCTCTAGGGTCAGACCACTCCCAGCTTCTTACGTGAGGGGCAGTGAGGAGTGGGGAGGTGGAGATGGCCGTGGACGAGCGGGCCATAGGCCGGACAGGGCTGGAAGGGGGCAGAGAACGGGGACTCTGGGAGCCATCGCTGTCACTGCCGCCGTGGCTGCTGGGGGGCGTTGGAGGCATCTGCACCAGGTCTTCTGGAGAGAGCAGGGGAAACCAGGTTAGCAGGAGTGTACCCCAGCTCTGCTCGGACCCATGAATTCAGCTTAGCATGGGCTCGTGCCAGCCCTGACACCCCGTGGGAGGATCACTGCCAGGTCCCTGACCTCAGATGGAACATTGTAAGGCCCTCTGGGGTGGCAGGAAGGAGCTGACAACCCAGAAGCCAATGCCTGCGTGTTGTCCCATCTTGGATACCATAGAAGCCTGGCTCCTTGGCTGGATCTCACAAAGCCTGGCTTCCCAGGGCTCATGGTCTTTGAATTTTGCAGCTCAGCAACCCCAGAAATGACAGGGGTCTCTGTCATAACCACCCACGGTTCCCATTTCCAATTTCACAGTAAAGTGCTGGGATTTCAGCAGAGTTTTAAGAAACCCTGCCCTCTCCTGCCACCTTCCTGCTGTGCTTTCTGCAGCCATGGCACCAAGAAGACTGACACCTTGCAAGTCGGAGAAGCCAAGCAGAGCCAGGGACCAAGAGCCTATATGCAGGGAGAAGTCTCAGGACAATTCCAGGGTGTGGAAATATAGAGCTCTCTTGCACTGCAGGGACGAGGCTGAGAGGAGGAATTGCTTCATCCTTCCCTGCTCGGCACAAGGCCACCTCCTGTAGGAATCTGTTCTCCATCTTTTGACACTAAAGTGCACGAGACTTGGAGTTGGAGAGACTTAAGGTCAAGTTCCGACCATAGCAACTCCCGGCTGTGCGACCTTAGCTAGGCTTGTTTAACCTCCCTAGGCCACTCTTCCCCATGCGCTGAATTAACTTCCTGCTCAGAGTCGTGAAGATGCAATGAGGTAAGGGAACAGAAAAGCTTTAGGAAATGAAGGGCACTCCACAATGCAAGCAGTTTGACTCTAGACCCTTCCCACCCTGTGTGTGTTCTGTCTTCTTGCCAAGGCAGTAAGCACCGTTAGCAGAATTGGGCCTTCTCCCTCTTCCTACTCGTGTAGTACTTAGCCCAAGGCCTGATGCACCGTACACCTTAATCAATGTCTGGTGAACTAAGAAGGTGGGATTGGGATGGTTTTGTTAGCCCCTTCTCCTCTGGTCATCTCTAGCATGCTTCCTCTGTCTCCTTCTCCCGTTTGGTCTGTGAATGTGCTCCCAGGTCCCCTTGGGGATCTGCCACCTGCACACTTGTATCATCTGTTGTGTAATTGGTGGTTTCCTTGACCCTCATTAGTCTACGATCTACTTAGGTACAGGGACTGTTTTCACTCTTCACTTCATCATGGCTGGGACTGGAAGAAGCCACTCAGTGGTCTTTTGCTGGAGAGACATATGGATGCATGAGGGATGAATGGATAGACTGATGGATGAAGCGATAGATGGAGTGATAGATGGATAGATGGATGGATAAATGGATGGATGGATAGATAAATGGATAGATGATAAATGGATGAGCAGATAGATGGATGGATAGATGGATGGATGGATAAGAGATGGATGAATGGATAGATGATAAATGGATGAACAAATGGATGGATGGATGATAGATGCGTGAACAGATGGATGGATGGATGGACAGACAGATAGATGGCTGAACAGATGATAGATGGATGAGAAAATGATGGATGGATAGATAGATGGATAGATGATGGATGAGCAGGTAGATGGATGAATAGATGGATGGCTGGAGAGATGAATGGGATAGATGAGGGATGAATGAGCAGATGGATGGATAGACAATAGATGGGTGAGCAGACGGATGATGGATGAATGATGGGTGAGCAGATGGATGGATGGATAGATAGATGGATAGAAGATGGATGGATAGATGGATAGATGCATGGATAGATGATAGATGGATGGATGGATAGATGGATGGATAGAAGATAGATGGATGGATAGATAGATGCATGGATAGATGATAGATGGATGGATAGAAGACAGATGGATGGATAGATAGATGAATAGAAGATGGATGGATAGATGATAGATGGATGGATGGATGGACAGGTGATAGATGGATGAGCAGATAGATGGATGAATGCATCAATAGATGGGTGAGCAGTTGGATGGTGGACGGATGAATGGCTGATGGATGGTTACAGAGAGGGCTTGGGTTAGTGAGCAGATGGGAGGAGAATTAGCAAAGGGGGATAGCAGCAGTAGACTGGGTAAGAAGGGGACTGGAAGGAGAAGGAGCATGTGTAGAAAGAGAGTGGGTAGGGCAGGAAGATATTCTGAGGAGAGGTGAGGCCCTCAAGGGACAGGGTGGTCTAGACCAAAGGAGCAGGGATACTGTCTGCCCAAGACTGGAGAAGAAAGGGCCCCTCCCCTGGACACACTTACCTGATGTCACTTTAAGGAACTGGTTCACGTCCTGTGGCTCTGCTTTGATCATTGGCAGCTGAGTCATCTCACCTGGAGCCTGAGGAAAAGACAGGTTCAGCTCTATTACCCATCATGTGTCCACTCTCTTCCCTCCCTGAGACTGGCAGTCCATCCTGCGTAGCTGGGGAAGTGGCTGGGCTTGGGGTTCTGGGCATAGCCCAGAGGGAGTAGAGGCAAGTTCTTGTACTTGGAGACCCAAGTCACATCTAAGAGAAGAGAATGGTGGTCAGGTGGTGTAATTCAGACCTTCAACTCAGAGAAGGAGGGCTCCTTGGTCTCTGAGAGTAGGGCCACCTTCCCATGGAAGCTGACCCTGTGCTGACCATGAAGACCACAGAGGCCATGGTATGTGAGTTGCCGTGAGGACCAGAGGTAACATCTAGAGCACTGTGGTTGACCAGCAAACAATGATGACCTCACAGGAGGAGGTTGTTGGCTGAGGGCTGGGAGAAAGCTCCCCAAGAAGTCAAAGACTGAATGAGTCCTGGAGTATAAATAGGAATAGAAACCACGCAAAGATGTTGGAACCACTGAGAGTCCCTAATGGGTTTTAGGCAAGGGAGTGATGGAATCCGATTTACATTTTCAACAAAGAAGCATTGTTATGTATTCATATCCCAACTTGTTGCTCCACAGAGGACCTTGAGCACCTGCATGGCGTCACCCATGTGAGTACAACACCTGTGTAAGTGGTGCTTACATCAGGGAAGGCCTGGTGCCTCTGAGGGAGGCATGGTGTTGGGTGCTGGATTTTAGGACTGTGTCTCGCCTCTGGGTCGGCAGCCTGCAGAGCGGTCATGGTGTTGTGGGCAGGACACAGAATCCTGGATTGAGATGGGTGAGCAAGAATCACAGAGGGTTCAAGTTGGCAGGGACTCTGGAGATTCCCTGGTCCCTATCCAGCTCAGCCCTTGAGTCACGGAGGTGGAGACTGTGATGCGGAATGGTGGTGGCATTGATGTGGGACACACGGTTCACTCCCCACAACTCGTGATGCCAACTCCTGGCCCCCGTGCCTTCCACAAGGGTGTCGCGACCTCACCAGAGTAGGAAGTGTGGGCATGGGGTTGGGCAGACTGAGTGTGAGAGGCAGCTCTGCTGGTTCTATTTTTTTTAATTGCCAGAGGGTGCATGCACTGAGATAGTGAGAGGGAGAGGGGGAGGGGGCGTGGCCACACCACAATCTTTCTCTTCCATTTCTCCATCTTGTTGGGATATGGGGCACATCTGGCATTTATTTATTTTTTTTTTTTAAAGAGAGTTTTGCTATAGAGTGCATGCCAGAGAGACAGAGAGACTGAAAATGAGAAATCATCCCCTAGGGGGAATGGCCAAGCTGCAATCCTTTCTCCTCCAATCTCCTTTTGAGATCTTGGGCCCGCACACACTCGTGCTGGATGTGAGTTTTAAGCCTCTGGATCTGGGACTCAAACTGCAGTTGGCCACGTGGGAGTCCAGTGATGTAACCATTACGCCATCTGCTGGTCCCACCTGGCATGTTTCTGAAGCAATTGGAGCCAGGATTCGAACCGCACAGTCAGTCAGCTGTGTGGCATCTGGCTCCCTTAACCACCAGGCCACAGGGCTGGCTTGTCTTTTCTTTTTACAGTTTCTGTATTTATTTCTTCCCTCGGCAAAGAGACAGACTCTCTAGAGAGACACAGAAAGACAGGTACCCCAAACAAGGTCTTGGTGAGGCAATTTGCCCCCAGCTGTAGCCAGTCTCAGACCATAGGCATACACGTGCCCGGAAGTGTCCGGACGCAAACCCAGAACTTTCCCACGTGGACCAGCCTTGCGGACTGTTGTGTTTTAGAACTGCCCTACGACCAGGCCCCTCTGATTGCTTAAGCCTCAGTTTCCTTCTGTGAGGCTGCGTCTGGCCTCCGAGACCCTGACTTTTGCTGCCGTCTTGCATCCCCTTCGTGCTCTGAAGAGGCTGAAGGAGGGCCCCAGCCAGTCTTAGAGATGGTCTCACTGACCCTGCATAACTGCAGCCAGTATCTGAGCCGACCTCGTGCCGGGCAGGGAGGGGCTGCCCTTTCTTGCCTTTGGCCACATACAGACTGATCAAGTCTGGGCTCCAGCAGTAGGCAGGTCAGCCAGACCCCAACTTCATAGAGTTTCTTTTTATTTTTTAAGGTTTTTGCCACAGGGTGCATGCACTTGGAGAGAGAAAGTGAGAAATTACCCCCCACCCCATGCCGGGGGATGGCGCTCACTGGAGAGAGACAGAGAGACAGTGAGCGAGAAGGTAAGAAATCACTCCCCTATAGGGGTTGGCCACACCGCAATCTCTTCTCCATTTCCCTCCTGGGATTTGGGCCCACACACGAATGCACATGTGCCCAGCACAAGTGTCAAGCCGTCAGGTCCAGGATTCAAACCACGATCGGCCATGTGAGAGTCTGGCACCTTAACTGCTATGCCACCTGCTGGCCCCAACTTTAGAGATTTTTATTTTTATTTTTTGGAGAGGTTTTTGCTATAGGGCGCATGCGCTTGCCAGAGAGACAGAAAGCGAGAAATCACACCCCCCCCCCCCCAGGAGTGATGGCCACGCCGCAATCCCTTCTCCTCCATTCTCCTCTCGGGATCTTGGGCACGCCCACACACGCGCCAGGTGGTGTGTGTTTAAGCGACCGGGTCCAGGACTTGAACCACGGTCGACTGCATGGGAGTTCAGCGACATAGCCATTACGCTAACTGCTGGTCCCCCATTTTTTTTTTTTTTTTTTTGGAGAGGTTTTTGCTATAGGGCACGTGAGCTCGCCAGACAGACAGAAAGAGACATAGAGACAGAAAGCGAGAAATCACCCCCCCAGGGGGGATGGCCACGCTGCAATCCCTTCTCCTCCATTCTCCTCTCGGGATTGTGGGCACGCACGCACACGTGCCCGGCGTGAGTTTTAAGCCACTGGGTCTGGGACGCGAACCGCGGTCGACTACGTGGGAGTCCAGCGACATAGCCATTACGCTAACTGCTGGTTCCCCAGAGAGTTTTTAAAAGAGACCTTCCTATTGCAGAATCTCAGGGCTATAAACACCTTAGGAGGTATTCATGTGCCCATCTCACAGAGAAGAAAGCTGAGGAGGGAAGCAGGAACGGGCATAGTCCCCAGAACACAGTGAGCTGAACTGGGACCCAGGCAGGGCCTCTCCCAGCAGCCAGGGGTCTAGGACTCTCATTCCAGGAAGGGCCTTAGATTCGCCATTATCTATATATTCATGGAGGGGTGCTGGCCTGAGTGTGTGGGTTAAACATGTTAATCGCACGTGTAACTATTATAGCACAATTTTTCTATCTCCATTCTGCTCTTTCTTCCTTTTTTAAAAGTCTGAAGCTCCGAGCAAGGTAAGTGGCCCGGGCTGTCTCCATCTCTGAGACCCTAGACCAGGCCCCTGCAAGCACAGCTCTGTCTGGCTCCAGGAAGCTTTTTTGCTCATGGTGAGAGCCTCGGCTTGCAGGGAAGGTGCCGTGCTTTGTGTTCATTCGAGAATGGCGAAGGGAGGGCCGGAGGCACAGGCAGAGCTCAGAGCCTGGGGACTCCCACCCTTTGTCCTGAGGGCCACGTGGAATCCAATGCAGGGAGACCTATGTTGGGGGGGCCTACAGGGCTCTGAGCACCTCATCCCATGGACCCATCAGCCCTCTCCCTCCCCTCAGTCCCCACAGTCCCCGGGCTCACCTGGTGGGGCATGGGCAGTCTGGACAGGGGGCTGAGGCCCAGCAGCGGAGTGGTGGTCATGGCGGCAGCGGCGGCCATGGGAGAGGAGGCGGCAGCCAGAGGGTCCACGGGCAGCTCCGGGCTCTGCTCCTGCTTCACCATGACGGAGCACAGTTTGTGTCCCAGTGCCCACGCTCCGTGTTCCACGTCTGGGGGAAGGCGGCAGGACCCAGGCTCAGGGGGCACCCAGAGAGGACGCTTGGGCCCCTCCTGCCCACTGGGAGCTGCTCTGGACTGGACTGAGGGGAGATGCTAGGCCGCTCAAGGAGGCACGCAGGAAAGTGGGGAGGCACTTGCTGGGTGAAGAGGTAGCCAGGAATGCTGGGGCCCCTTCATCAGCAGCTTGCAGAAGGGCCTTAGACAACAGAACTGGATCCCTCTTGACTGGCTGTGTGACCTCAGTCGAAGTTAACCTCTCTGAGCCGTAGCTTCCTCACAATAAATGGAGGACGATCAGGACATACCTAAACAGGGAGGGCTTCTTTCTTCTTCTTTTATTTTTTTTAAAGAATTTTCTATTTTATTTGTCATCATCATTATTTTTTAATTTGCTGCAGGACATGTGTGCTCACCAGAGAGAGACACAGAGAGAGGGAAAGTGTGAAAGCAAGCCAGCAGATCCAGGACTCAAACTGCGGTCGGCCACAGGAGTCCAGTGCCCTAACCACCACGCCATCTGCTAGACCCAAGGGGGAGCTTTTGGAGATTAAATAATATAACGCATGACAGTGCCTTCTGAGAAACATAAGGGACCTTCCACAAATTCATGGAAAGTGACACATACATTAGAGTACATCATAAAAAAGTGAAGGTTGGGTAACCCATTTCCCAGGACCCCTCCCTTCTTGGGAGCTCTGTTTTTCCTTCCCTCTCCTTTAATAAACTCCCTGCTTTTTCTTTTCTTTTCTTTTTCTTTTTTTTTGGAGAGGTTTTTGCTATAGGGTGCATGCGCTTGCCAGACAGACAGAGAGAGAAAGAGAGACAGAAAGCAAGAAATCAGCCCCCAGGGGGGATGGTCACGCCACAATCCCTTCTCCTCCATTCTCCTCTCGGGATCTTGGGCACGCACGCACACGCGCCCGGTGTGAGTTTAAGCCACTGGGTCCGGGACGCGAACCGCGGTCGACTACGTGGGAGTCCAGCGACATAGCCATTACGTTAACTGCTGGTCCCATAAACTCCCTGCTTTGTTATTCTCCACTTTGCTAATAAACTCCCCGCTTTGCTATATCTAAAAATAATAATAATAATAATAATAATGAAGGTGAAGGTGGCTGGATCCCACACAGCCAACTGGATGGTTTGAGTCCTAGACCTGGCAACTTGAAAAATACACTGAGCACAGGTGTGTGGGTGTCCAAAATCCTGAGAGGAGAGTGGAGGAGAAGGGATTATGGCATGGCTATCACCCCAAGGGTTGAGTTCTCATTTTCTCTCTCTCTTGTAAGCACACATGACTTATAGCAATTTTTTTGGAGAGGTTTTTGCCTTAGGGTATGGGCACTTGCCAGATAGAGAGAGACAGAGACAGAGACAGAGAAAGGGAAAGTGAGAAATCACCTCCCAGGGAGAATTGCCGAGCCACAATCCCTTCTCCTCCATTCTTCTCCTCAGATTTTGGGCATGCACGCACACATGCTCAATGTGAGTTTTAAACCACCGGGTCTGGAACTTGAACTGTGGTCAGCTATGTAGGAGTCCAGCAACATAACTGCTACACCCTCTGCTGGCCCCATCCCTATAGCAAATTTTAAATACCCAAAGAACAATGCATGCATTGTTAGGGTTATTTTTTATTCGTGCTAGAATGAATTATGTGTGCACTGGGGGTGTCGGGGGAGAGAGAGAGAAGCCCTCTCCTCAGCACTTGGGCACGCCACGATCCCTTTCCCCCAGTCTTCCAGCTCGCCAGGATCCTGGGCATGCCGGCATGTGCCTGGCATGTTTTCAGGCCACTTGGGCCAAGGGACTCAGACCATGACATGTGGCTTCCAGTTCTGCAGTCCAGTGTGCTACTGACTACATCAGAGAGTTCACATTTATTGCACCAAAACAAACTTGTACTTTAATTCCATTTTTCTGTGAACTTCCTGAAGTACCTTCAGAAGCACTCAGAAAGTGGCAGTTACTGCTAACACACACCTAGTTACTCAGCAAACGTGACTGGGCCCCGGGGCGGGCGCAGGGGAGCTAGCGAGAGTCACAAGCAGGTATAGCTGGAGCCCACAGGAAGGGGAAGACGGGCCTGGAGAGGCAGCTTGGCCTTGGAGGCTGGGCTTGGGCTCTGTCCTAGTGGTCATGGGGAGCCACTGAAGACTTTTGAGCAGGTTCCGATGTGTCATTTTATTATTGTTTTGAGAGATGTTTTGCTATAGGGCTCATGCATTCTCTGGAGACACAGAGACAGAAGGTGAGAAATCACCTTCCCCCCCCAGGGGGTGGGGGGACGGCGAAATGGCCACGCCACGATCCCTTCTCCTTCATTCTCGTCTCGGGATTTTGGGTACACACACACACACATGCATGGAGTGTTTCAAGCCACCAAGTCTGGGATGTGACCCACAATCGGCCATGTGAGAGTCCAGCACCTTAAGCATTATGCCACCTGCTGGCTCCACAAACGTGTAATTTTAAAAAGATCTGCTTGGGCCTAGACTGGCTGCAGGCCAGAGGAGGCAGGGATCAGGAGAGAGAACAAAGGCAGTGGCAGTGGGAATGGAGAGGAGAGAAGTTACTAGAAGGAGGACTCCACAGGACCTGGAGACTGGGGCAGGAGGGAGAGGTGGCACTCAGATCCCCTGAGGGCAGAGTCCACCTGCAGCCCAGCTCGTGGGCTGCCTGGCCTCACCAGTGCCACGGGCTGGCAGGCATCATCCCTTTTCCTGCCGGGTGCCCATAGTCCTGTACCCCAAGTCGGGCCTGCTCGTGGTGGCCCAGCACCAGCAGCCAGCGGGGTAGCTGCTGAGATGAGACGTGGGAAGGAGCATGCAGGGGCGAGACTGGAGAGGACCCTGCACGTTGGGGTCCACAGCGGGTGGGAGAGTGGTCAGCGGCTGCCTGATACCACCTTCGGAGGCTGGGCCCCACCCTGCTGGGAGCCTGAGTACCCTGGCTCTGGGCCACAGGCTGCCCCTGGGCTCCAGGAATACCCACAATCTTCCCAAATTACAGGGCCAAGCCACCAGCCTCCGGGAAGCTGCCCCCTGCAAAGGGCCCACAGACAAATTGCTTTAAAAATAGACTGGGGTGGCTGAGATTGACTGGGCCAGCCCCGCTCTGGGGAAGGAGAACCTGCCATGGGAGGGGTCCACCCCACATCCCACCCCTCCCCAGGCTGGGGCAGAGACCTCCTGGAGGTGGGGAGGCTCGGCTGAGGCCAGGGCCACATGGGAACAAGCCCTGACTCACTTAAAACCCCAGAATGTGTCCCTGCCCTCTAGGGGGGTGGTGGGTTATAAAGGCCTGCCTTTGCCCTAGGGCCTCTCATAGACCCTCAGAAGCTGCTCAGACTTCTTGCTAAGTCCTTGCCATGCATGGGCTGTCCACACCTCCCAGTAGCTCTAGGGGACAGGCACCTTGCTTTCCCGTTTCATAGATGAGAAAGAACTCACTCAAGACCACTGCCTTCTGGAGGGGAAGAGGGCTAAGAACCCTGTTCACTGTTCCATCCACTGTACTAGAAGGACCGGATACGCACGAGGCCAATAGCTACTAGCCGCTGATATACAGTATGTGCTAGGTACTGGCCAGGGGCTTTTCATACCCATGAGGGGACTTCAGAAAGCTCCTGGAAGGGTCAGCAGGTGGCATGCTGATAAAGGTGCTGGACTCCCACATGGTCATCCGTGGCTGGAGTCCCAGACTTGGTGGCTGGAAAATCATGCCTGGCACATGTGTGTGTGTGTGTGTGTGTGTGTGTGTGCCCAAAATCCCGAGAGGAAAAAGGAGGAGGGATTTCGGCACGGCCATCCCACTTTCCCTCTCTCTCTCTGTCTGTTTCTCTCTGGTGAGCACACATGCCCTATGGCAAAAAGCCTGAAAAAAAAAAGCTCTTAGAAAAATCAAAGTTGGCGTAATGGCTATGTCACTGGACTCCCATGTAGTTGACCATAGTTTGAGTCCCAGACCCGGTGGCTTAAACTCATTCTGGGCATGTGCGCATGCGTGCCCAAGATCCTGAGAGGAGAATGGAGGAGAAGGGATTGCGGTGTGACCATCCCCCCGGGGTGGTGATTTCTCGCTTTCTACCTCTCTGTCTCTCTCTGTCTTTCTGGAATGCACACATGCCCTATAGCAGAACCCCCCACCCCCAGAAAAAAAGAAAAATCAAAGTATGTGTTTCTTTTGGTGCAAGAAAAAGTTGAAATCTATGCATAAGTTTTTCACAATACACATTTTCCACAAACTTTTGGAAAACCTCTCATTTAAAAAAATCCTGACCAAAACTTTCAAAATACATCTCATCTTCATTTTATCATCGAGGAAACAGAGGCCCAGAGAGCTTAAGTAACTTGCTCAAGACCACCCAGCAGCCAGTGGAGACACCAGGATGCACATGTGGTGATGGCGGAGGTGAGGTTTAGAATCAGCCTGTACTAAAGTCAGCTTTTGTGAAGTCATTTTTTAAAAAATTCTCAAGTAGGGATTATGATAAAAGGGACTCCTACCTCACCTGTCAGTTGTGAGAAATTAATGAGATAATTAACAGAGGCTCTTCCTAGACTGAAGAGCGCTAGAGAAACGCTTGCTGTTATTCCTGCTTGCAGACGAGACTGAGGCTCACAGAGGCTGAGATGTGGACCAGCTGCCTTTGAAGGAATGCCCGAGGGACAATTTCGCATGCTGATCACCTGTGAGGAAGGACTCAGAGGGTCCTTTACTTGAAAGAGGGGAGCTTCAGGGGAGGGGAGCTTCCGAGAGCCGCCCTTCAGGAATAATGGTAAGGAGCGGGGGTCTCTCCCATGGAGCATCTTGGAGGTTGAAACTGGAGGAGGCGGGAAGGCTAAGTCAGTGGGTCTCGAACCTGAGCCCGATGGGTGTCACCTGGAAGGCGGGCCCTCCTCGCAGGTTTCTGACGCCGCAGGTGGGGACAGAGCCTGAGAATCTGCATTCCTAACTAGTTCCCAGTATCCTGCGGCTCCAGGAGCCACACCGACTGCAAGGAGGAGTCAGAATCCCTGCTGAGAAGCGCCCACAGGGCTGGAGTTGCAGGAGGACACAAGGGCAGGGCGGGGTCTATGGGAAGTTCCTTTAGGGGCCTCCTCCCTCCTAGGCTTGCAGCCCTCCCCAGGCCCCCTGGCAGCCTACCTTGGGTGGTGTCTTCCATCTTGATGGGCACCAGGGGGCTCTGAGGCGCCGAGTCTCCGCTCAGGGAGTAACTGTGCTCAGCCTGGATACCCGGCGTCGGGGAGTCCAGTTCCATGTCCAGGAGAGGGCTCTTCTCATCCAGCACCGGGTCATCAAAGAAACTGCTGAACAGGTCGTTGGAGAAGTCCTCCATGTTCTCTGCAAAGTGGTCCAGGTGCTCAGGAAAGTGCTAGGGAAGGAGCAGGCACTCAGCTTAGATTGGAAGGGGTGCTGGCGCTGAGCCAGGGGACACACCACCCTGCCGCCACCGCATCACCGAGACCTCCGCACTGCTGTCCCCACCTGCGAGCACCAGCACCACCGTCATCAACGTCCCCACCGCCCACAGCACCGACACCAACTCTTAGAGTTCTGTCATTTGCCTTCGGGCCGCCACCATGGCCATCTGCACCCCCACCGTGGCCATCTCCACCCCCACCGTGGCCATCTGCACCCCCACCGTGGCCATCTGCACCTCCACCCTCGGTATCTTCAAGGGCGCACTGTGGGCAGGGCCGAAGGCCATAGGACGCGGGGCTCGGCGACCTCGGTCAAATCTTGTAAACTGCCTGTTTCTCGTTCTACCCTGCTTCTTTCATAGGTCGATGTGAAGACCAGGGGAAAGAATCACCGGGACCAGTAGATGGCATCGTGGTTGCGTTGCTGGACTCCCTCCTGGCAAACTGTGGTTTGAATCTCGGACCTGGTGGCTTCAGAATCACTCCAGGCATGTGTGCCCAAGATCTCAGGAGGAGGATGGAGAAGAGGAGATTGTGGTGTGGCCATCCCGCCCAGGGGATGGTTCCTCACTTTCCCTCTTGCTGTCTCTGTCTCTGATTCTCTCTCTCCCCGGCGAGTACAAATACCGTAAAATAAAACCATCCCCCCCCCAAAAAAAAAGAATCACCGAGTGTCTCTGCCAGCTCGTGTGTATTCCAAAGGCAGTATTAGCAGCTGTATCCAGTGTCCCCCCCAACCTGCATTTCATTTTCTGGGGTTCCAGCTACTTGCGGTACAGTACGATAAGAGTGTGAGCGAGAGCCCACATTCCCATCACTCCGACTGCAGTACATTGCTAGGACTGCTCTGTTTTATCATCGGTTATTGCTGTTCATCTCCGACCGCGCCTACTTTACAAAGCCGGCTTTATCACAGGTGTGTACGCACAGGAAGAAGGCACACACAGGTTTGGAACTGTTCCCGGGCCAGGTGGGGCTGGCTAGCAGCCTGGGCCTAGCCCCTGCCAATGGCTGCTGTCTGGGATCACAGTCACTCTTCCAGACTTGCTCAGCTGAGGCCTCTGGCCTGACTGCCTTCCCCCAGGCATTGCTGGACGGCTGATAGCCGGGTGGCACTGCCCTCTTGGCACATCCATTGGGGATCTTGGAACGTATCCCCCACAAGAAAGAGGAATGTATTATCTTCTGTTATTGAGTCTTTGCGAACGTCATGACCCATTTTTGCATAGAAGAAGACATCACGACTGTCCGCATGACCTAACGGAATGTGGGAGAGAGTGATGCAGAGTGGAGTGTCCCCTCATCAGCACAGGCCCACCTGTCCTCATGCCCCAGTCATTTGTTATACCAAGAGATTAAGCTCTAGAGCTATTTTGTTTAGGTTCGAATCCTGGCCACGATACTTCTAGCCATGACTCAGTGCTGTTTAAACTGGACGGTGAGTCACTGATTGTGAAATCAATTTTTTGGGTCACGACAAGAATTTAAGGGAAAAAAAAAACAGAACAAACTGAGTAGAAAATATCAGGTTGCACTGCATATAGAAAAACTAAAGACAGCAATGTAAAACATCTTGGCTATGTGTGTGTATGTGATAATAATGTAAAATAATTTCTTAGAAACAAAAGTCACCGGCCAGCAGATGGCATGGAGGTTAGGTGGCTATATCCCACATGGCTGACTGTGCTGTTCGAGTCCCGGACCTGGTGGCTTAAACACACGCAGGGCTCCTGTGCGTGCGTGCCCAAGATCCTGAGAGGAGAATGTAGGAGAAGGGATTGCAGTATGGCCATTCCCCCTAAGGGGTGATTTCTTGCTTTCTGTCTCTGACTCTCTCTGTCTTTCTGGTGAGCACAGGCGCCCTATAGTAAAAACCTCTCCCTGCCCCCCCCCCCAAAAAAAACAATCAAGCCAGAGGGCCAGCAGAGTCCTGTGCGTGCGTGCCCAAGATCCTGAGAGGAGAATGTAGGAGAAGGGATTGCAGTATGGCCATTCCCCCTAAGGGGTGATTTCTTGCTTTCTGTCTCTGACTCTCTCTGTCTTTCTGGTGAGCACAGGCGCCCTATAGTAAAAACCTCTCCCTGCCCCCCCCCCCAAAAAAAACAATCAAGCCAGAGGGCCAGCAGAGAGTGTAGTGGCCCCCCCCCAAAAAAAAACAATCAAGCCAGAGGGCCAACGTAGTGGTTACGTTGCTGGACTCCCACATGGCTGACCAGGATTGGAGTCCCAGACCTGGTGGTCTGAAACTCACACTGGGTGCTCGTATGTGCCCAAGATTCTGAGAGGAGAATGGAGAAGAGGGGATTTCAGCATGGTCATCCCCCCCAGGGGGTGATTTCTCAGTCTCCCTCTCACTGCCTCTGTCTCTCTCTCTCTTCAGGGAGAGCACTCACCCTAAGACAAAAACCTCTACAAATAAATTTAATAAATAAATCAAACACTAAAAATCAAACAATCTAAGCCCACTCCAGCCGCGCATGCGCACGCATGTGCCTAGGATAGTGAGCACGGCCTTCCTTCTCGGAGGTGATTTTTCTCTCTCCACCAGCGAGCTCATGCACAGCACCCTACAGTATATAGCAAAACTAAAAAAAAAAAAGCCTGAAAAAATCTTGGTCTCCATGATCTTGTGAAAGTTAATGAGCATCTCGGGACCAGCAGTTGGCGTAATGGCTATGTCGCTGGACTCCCAGGTAGTTGACCGTGGTTCGAGTCCCGGACCTGTTGGCTTAAACTCACGCCAGGTGCGTGTGCGTGAGTGCCCAAGATCCCAAGAGGAGAATGGAGGAGAAGGGATTGCGGCATGGCCATCCCCTCAGTGGGTGATTTCTCGCTTTCTGTCTCTCTGCCTTTCTCTGTCTTTCTGGCGAGTGCATGCAAAAACCTCTCCAAAGAAAAAAAAAAAAAAAAAGGAAGTTAATGTCATTTCCTTCTCTGTAGCAGGGGGGAAGGAGAGAAGGGGCTAAAAGGTCCTACCTGCTGGGATTGTTGCCAGGGTTAGATACGTTGATACACGCAAAGTGCTTAGAATAGACCCTGGCACATAACGATTACTCAGCGAATGTTACCTCCTTTCATTCATAAAGCACGCCGGGCTCTGACGTCTAGTAGGTGCTTGTAAATATTTGTTTTCTCCCTAATGAATGATAAAAGCATAAAGCAGACAGTGGCACAGTGGTAAAGCACCTGGGGCGTGTGTGTGTGTGTGTGTGTGCCCGTGATCTGAGTCGGCTGAGCCCCAGGGTGGGTGGCAGTGTGGAGACACTGTTGGGAGTACCCTTTCTCACACATGAAACAAACAAGCCATTTCCCTTGTGGTGGGCGCCCCCCCCCAGGTGGGGTGGGGGGTTTCCCCCCAAATTTTTTTTTTTTTTTTTTTTTTTTAAGAATTACTTTATTTTATTTATTCTAATTTGACCAGAGAGGGAGGAAAGAGAGAGAGAAAGTAAGAAAGCAAGCTGCCAGATCTGGGGCTCGAACCATAGTCAGCCACATGGGAGTCTAGCACCTTTAACCCCCATGTCACCTGCTGGCCCCCCTTTTTAAAAATAATTATTTTATTTTTATTTATTTATTTTTAATAATTATTTTATTTATTCATTCATTTATTTTAACTTGATCAGAGAGAGACTCACAGAAAGAGAGAGAGAAAACGTGAGAAAACAAGCCACCAGGTCCAGGACTCAAACCATGGTCAGCTATGTGGGAATGTCCAGCGCCTTAACCACCACGCCACCCGCTGGTTCCAACAATTGTTTTATTTTACTTTATTTATTTTAATTTGGTCCCAATAACTCTAAAAAATACTTTCAAGAAATAAATGTTTGAAAAGAATGATTAGTTCTGAGGAGACTACCATTGTTCATTCACCTATTATTTACTTTTTTTTGAGAGAGAGAGACATGGTCTCCCTCTGCTGCCCAGGCTGGCCTAGAACTTGTGGTCCTTCTGACTCAGCCACCAAGTAGCTGGGACTATAGGCACACACACTCTTGCTCCTGGCATGTCCCTAGTTATTGAGTGAATTCAACTGTGGTAGGTTGGAAAACACAGGGGATTGCTTTAGGCCCTAGGCCCTGAGCAGGTGAGTGGTTAAGGTCTGCTTCGGGGGATCGATTCAAGGGCTGGAGTTGTTGGCTCCTTCTGACCTGGAACAGCAGGAGCTCAACCCAGAGGGATGAGCAGAGGCACCTTTGTCTCAGAATAAGGGTCAGGGCCGCAGGAGTTTGCGTGGTGCACAGGGTACGCTCCAGGGTTGTGTACACTTGCCCTCAACACCTGGCACCATTACATGCTAACTTACTTCTCTGTGCCTCAGTTTCCTCATCCACAAGGGGAAAATAACAGCTCATAGTGTTGTCTTCAGAGTGATATTAGATGCTTAGCACTGCCCTCGTAGGACCGGAAAAAAGGAGTGAATACGTACAACACACTTACAGCAGTACTGCCCAGTACGCAGCAGGTGCTTTGTTACTGCTAGTTATTATTATTCTGAAAACCACAGCCCCTAAATGCCAGCCCCGGGTTGAACTTGGAACCCATGGGAGAAATGGTTTGGTCTTCTTCAAACAAGGTCAGAGAATCCAAGACAAAATAAGGTCAGAAACTCCATTGACGGAGGTACTGTCCCCCTTTCCAGTTGGCCAGAAATCAAAATGATCATCTTGCATTTTTGTTTTTGCATTAGCTTTCCAAAGCACTCTCATATGCTTTATTTGTTTGTTTGTTTGTTAATTTTTGTTATAGGGCTGTGTGCTTGCCAGAGGGAGACAGAGAGGGAAAGCGAGAAATCACTCCCCTGGAAAGATGGTCACAGTGCAATTCCTTCTCCTCCATTCTCCTCTCAGGATCTTGGGCATGCATGCACATGTGATTTACAAGCCACCGGGCTCAGGACTTGAACCATACAGCCAGCCATGTGGGACCTAGTGCCTTAACCTCCATGTCACCT